GCACATATGTAAATTCTGTTCTTGATTATTCAAATACTTGATTCTGTCTATTTTTGAGTACTTGGAATTTATTTATCAGGATGTGTGTGGTGTTTGTTTCTCATGGTGTTATGTTGTTTGTTCTCCATTGCTGCTGAAACACTGAAATTTCCCCATTGAGGGATCAGTAAAGTACCTACCTATAAGCCTGTGGTAAACCCGCCCTCCCATTCTGACCACCTGTGGTCTTTTAGTCAGGAAGTCTAGAATCCAGTTACAGGTGGGAGTTGACACACCGAGGTCTGTCATCTTCCCAATCAGCCTGCCCGGGCGAATGGTGTTGAATGCAGAACTGTAATCCAGGAAGAGCATCCTAGCATACGCACTGCTGTTGTCCAGGTGTTTCAGGGTCTGGAATAAAACCAGAGGCACTGCGTCGCCCACTGATCTGTTGGGGCGATAGGAAAACTGGAGGGGGTCTACAGTGTCTGGTACCATGTGGTTAATGTGTGTGAAGACCAGTTGGTCCACAAGCACTTCATGGTGACTGATGTGAGCGCCACTGGCCTGAAGTCATTCAGAGTGGATGTGTCTGATGTCTTAGGGACCGATATGATAATGGGTTTTTTTGAAAATGCGAGGAACTACTGCTTGGGCTAAAGACAGGTTGAAGATGTCTGTGTACACACTAGCTAGTTGATCCCCACAGGCTCTCAACACTCTGGGGGGGCACACCGTCTTGTCCCGCCGCCTTATGGGGGTTTACCTGTTTCAGGGCCTTCAGCACTGTGTCAACTGAAAAGCAGTGTCCCCCGGGTTGCAGGGGGATTTTAAGCGGGTGTCTGTGTTCCTCCTGTCAAACCTCCCATACGAGATGTTGTGAAATAGCATAAGGTTCATCTCTGTGTAACAGAGCTGGAGAAACATTCACACTGAGAGCTGAAGGATTAGTGGATGTAGGATTAGTGCACGAGGGAGGATTTCCTCATGTACTGTATGACATAAAATTTAAGTAAATTGAGCACATATTATGCTTTGGCATGAGAAAATAGTAAATGATTATAGCAAAGCTATTATGGTTAGGGAGAAACATCTGTCTGCTGTCTACAGTCTGACTTCACTTTCCTTTCATTCCCTTATTTTCCCTCTAATTTTCCTGCACAACCACAAGCGCTGCTCGCTGTGTCATGACTCCCAGTTAACCGGCATCTCGTTTAAGGGCAGCAGTCCGACTGTGCATCCATTTGTTGCAGCAGAGGCAGGGAGGGCTGTGGAGGGCGGGAGAATGACGGCTGTTTAAGGGTTGGAGTTTAAAGCACTGTGGCTCTGACCTACACACTGCACACTTTAAAAGACATTTCCTCCCACACTCCCCCTCTTCCTCTCCCGCTCTCTCTGTCAGTAAAGGAGCTGAACGCCAGCCGGTGAGACACGATAAGGAGCTGGCTGAGGGAGAACTGACAGAGCTGCCACCTTGCTGGGAGGGCTGGATGACAGGGCAGCGGCACAGCAGAGCCTCATTTTTTTGGCTTCAATGAATGTGTGAAGACTCAGAGGAGCACCTCATCTTCCTGCTGGGGCTTGTGAAAAAGTAGATTGCACTAGTACAGGTAAGAAGATTTATTATGTTTTACCTTGGTTTTCATGACAAAAAACATTTTTCTGGAGATTCTCATTTCATTTGCTCTTTGAATTGAATTCCATTTAAAATGAAATAGAGAAATCTACATCAGCAATCACATCATTCACAGTTATCTTAGCAGCAGTTTTGGGCTAGTGGAGGTTACCACACCAACAGAAGGCAGCCAGTTATTGTTTATTAGAAGTACATTAGCAGTGTACAGTGCAGCTTCTTCCTCAGACAGAAATAGCAGCTAATGATGACTGACTGCTGAAGGACTGAACATGTGGACGCTTTGCTTGCTTCAGTAGAAGGGCCTGTAGCCAGCGTGCTCCACGCCAAAGACCATTCTTATAAATTTTGCCAGGTTGTAGATCAGTACTTTGAAAATAAACTGTCCATCTGTGGGTGCTTGTGCATGAGGGCAAAAATGTGCTTTCATAAGGATGGTGAGGGTTTGCCTGCTGATGATTCATCACATCACCTTGGGCAATGCAGTTCGCTTTTCACTGTATGTCATTTTTCCATCATGGAGATTAAACAAAAAAAATACTTCATCCATTTAGTCCATTAGCTGCTTAACTGAAGTCAGGCTCTGGCTTATGGTTTTAACTTCTGTGTTATCTTTTGTGTGACGGGTTGCGTCACTGGTTCCAGTTCACATTCAGCAGAAGTGAATATTTCAGCAGAAGATTATAATCATTCAGTTCCTTTGATGTTCAGTTTTATCCTGTGGCCCACAAATGCACGGCATGGCCCTTTCGCAGCCGCAGGACTTTTTATAGCCTCTCTGCTACTGTATGTGCCGAGTCTCCTGGGAGGTGTCTGGTTAGCTGAGTGAGAAAGGTGTCTCAATCAGAGGGACAGCTGGTTTAGCAGCTGGAGCTCCCCCGGGGCTCGTCCTACACTCTCTGTGTGACCTCTACACAAAGCCAGGGGTTGATCATAATGCAGCATCACACACCTCTGCATTGTATGTGGCTTTTTCCTGGGTCAGCTGAGGAAACGTGTAGTTGTGTGGCCTGAAAGTGGTGACACTGAAGGTTAATGAGGGAGCTGGGTTGTCTAATTAGTCCTAATTTACAGAATACTCCAATAAATATATGTGCTGTAAACAAACTGTATGTAAGGTTCTGTGTCAGCTCCGTGGCCTTTCAGCATGTTAGAACTGTAACTGTTAATTTGTCTATGCAGGTGTGTTTGTAAGTTGTTTATTTTCATCATCATTAACTAGTGGAGGAATATTTTCTAATATTTTCCACAGTATTTGATTGCATGTGTTAACAAAAAACTAAAAAGCAAAGCTGCAGCTGATTGTTTTTTTTATTACTGATTCATTTGACAAGTATTTTCTCTTTAAAATAAATAAACATTTTATCATTATAATGTGAGAAAATAATCACAAAACTCCAAGGTGACATGTTCAGATTGCTTGTTTTGTTTAACCAGCAGTACAAAACCCAAAGATGTTCAGTTTACTGGCCTTACACTGTAAAACTATGAAAGACTATTGTCTGAAACCCTCTCACCTTTAAAGGTAATGTGTCATTGGTTCCAGAGCTTTTAGTCAGAGACTGTGGATTTGCAAAGGCTGGGGATCTTGCGGGGTCACTATTTGCAAGGCTGCAACTAGATTTCTCTTGAGACTACGTCCCATATGCTCCTGCGTTTGGCTGCAGTGTTTTGTTTGGAAGAAACAGCTGAAAAGAAAATGAGGAGACTGCACAGAATGTGGACACGACCCTGTTTGATTGAACGGGGACAGCGAGGTCTGTCCACCTTTTTTCTTTCTCTACAAGGTGACGGTACAAATTGGATGATGTCAAACAGAAAGCTCACTCCACAACTCCACCAGTTTCTCCTCCTATAGAATGGAGCCACCGGAGTCTCCTTCATATTTAGCCAAGACTACAAACATGTTTTATTGTAACGTCAAGATGAGGAAAGGCTGATTTAAAACAGTTCACCACCTCACACCAAAAGATTGAGATGAGGCGAGTGCACACGACTGTAGCAAGACTCTCGTGATTTTATTCCGACATTGGACATTTGTCTGTGACACGAAATCGCTTGAAAATTTGTTGGGTGTAAGGCCGCATAAGAGAAATAAGACAAAGGAAAGCAGCAAATTATCAGCTTTAAGAATCTGGAAAAATAAATGTTTTGCTTGACAAATGACTAAAACTAGGAACCAAGACATGTTTTTAATCAACTAATCATTTCAGCTCTATTTAAACCATGTCACAAATTTTTAATTGCCATAACTACCCATATCTACTGCTACCACCACTTTCAGCTGCTCCCATAAGGGGTCGCCACAGTGAATCCAATTCACATGAGTAATTTGGCACAGTTTTATGCCGGATGGTCTTCCTCACACAACCCACTTTATTTATCCCGGGCTTGGGACCAGCACAGAAGTCACTGATGTGAAACCCCTGTGGTTAGATACACAACCACTCCTGGGGGAAATTTAGAGTCACCAGTCAGCCTGCATGTCTTTGGACTGTGGGAGGAAGCCAGAGCACCAGGAGGGAACCCATGCAGACACAGGGAGAACATGCAAACTCCACACAGAAAGGCTCGAACCCAGGACATTCTTGCTGTGAGGTGACAGCGCTAACCACTGTGCCGCCATGCCACCCATCACTACCATCACTACCTGTATATTCAGTGATACCTGCAGTCTGCATCCTGTCCAGGCTCATCTGGGGACACAGTAAAGCTTCACTCTTCTGAAAGGATTGCTTGAGGATATCTGCTATGCAACAGTGAGAAAATGTGTAATACGTTTCTGTTCTGTCTGTTATTGTTGGTTCGGCTGCAGTAACTACTTTTTCGAGATGATTTCCAGCTGCTCCAGATGCTGTGTTAATCAGACCTCGCACTTTGCCTTTGATGGAAAATAAAAATGCTAAACTGTCACAGATGAGCAGATACACACATACACTGGATTAAAGTCTTCACACGCTGCTGTCAGCCACAAATGTTTTCCATAAGAAGCGTGTGCAGACACGCTGCATTTGAACTGTTCTCGTGGAAGTGGATGGTTTAAATCGGTGTGAAATGAAGTCAGTGTCTTAACTGTGATTTGTCACCAGGGCAGTCCATCAGTTGGGAGATTGCACAGATAAAGATGAAATGAAAATAATGCATGCAGTAGCACCATCAGTTAAAGATGAAGAGGTAACTGAGCCACTGGCTGGACACAGGGCAAGTAGAGCAGCTCTGTGCCTTTTTCTTTTCTTTGACTAGGCAAAACAGATGTCTGCTGTCCAGGGCCAACATTCCCGGTTTTTCTTTTCCACGTGGGAAAGTTCCCTTCTCGCTGCCAGCATGGGGGTAGAAAGCTACAGCAATTCTGGATTATAGCTTAGTGAAGAGATTATATTTATTTCAGTCTCCTCTCCAAATTGTCTGTCCATGTCTCCAAAGTCAGATGGGATGTCCTGAGATAACCCCAGGTCTGCTGTGAATTATGCTTTCTTGGCTTTTTATTATAGGCACTACTGTTCTCATCTACTGTAGTTTAACTGTTTAACTGCAATTTCTGTGAATATAAGTAGGCAGCTGCAGCATCAAATCTGTTTTGTATGAACAGGGCCTGGTTTGCAAAATCCTTTAAAACTCTTAAGTTTCACAAATGCAATATGTTTTTCTTGCCTGCCGTAGACAGCAGCATTAGTAATGACTTTTCCTACTATTTTGTTTTGGGCTGTTGGGACACATTTATAGCCTTAAAATGGTGCAACAGGGGTTTGCATTGCAAGAGGTTATTTAATCTGTTTAATGAATTATACTACTCAAAATGAACGTTACCCACGGCTTGGAAGTGCCACAAATCTGAGATGAATATAAATAAAAATAAATCATCCAAGTTCGTATTGTTCCTACTAGTTTTTCTAACATTCTTTGAATGATAGTTTAAGGAGATATTAAATTGCATTTTTGTGGTATAAAAAGGTTTTAAATTTAGTTTTATGAACACTGCAGAAACCCTAATTAAAAAACGATGTTAGGGCTGTGTTACAAATATAGCTACATTGGGCCACATTAGAAGCTGTCATGAGAATCTTCATCCAAAGCAGATGCACTCACAGCCACACTGAGGGTTTGAACTGATTTACTCTTTGCCTTCAAGACCTCTCAAGCTATCAGTCTTTGTTTTCCAGCAGGAGATCAGAAACATATTGTGAGAAGTTTTTAGATTTACAACAAAAGTCATAACCTACATTTGTCTTGCCACTCACCACATGTGCAAGAACTCAAGAAACCCAAGCTCAGTGTTATATCTGTGTCTTAATGGGTTAGGTGAAGAGATGCAAAAATACTGGCGAGGGGCAGTGGAAGAAAGAAAGGTTGGGTCAGAGGTCAGGTTAAAGGTGAGGACGGTAAAGGAAAGAAAACATGATGGGCAAGAGTGGACTTCCTTCGTACAGTACCTACACCTCAACCCCACCCGTCTGAACTATGTGGATGACAACAACATCCATGGTGTACTCTTCTGAGCTCCATAAAACCATCAGATTTCCTGTCAGCGTGTAGCACACATGCTGTTTTCAGGGACAAGTGGCTACCAGCTCACGACTTGTCCCATCGTAGTCTATTGGTTCTTGATGTTTTAGCTAATTTAACTTAAAGTTTACATCATCGAGACAGCTGTACAGTATGGATTAACCATATCTTTTAATTATGGGGTTTTACTACATTGATTAACAGCATTTGGCTGCATAAGGCTTCCATAGTTGTTTGGTTTAAAGGTGCTTCTGTATTAACCTAACTGTTGAGTTATATCAGAGTTTTCTGGAGAGTCTAATAATCTAATTTCCCCAGTCACACTTGTGACTCTGGTGTTAAACATTGTTTTATGAGTTGGAAACTTGTAAATATGATTCCTCTGATATGCTGAGAACACAGCATTATCCTGAGGTTTTGAGGTAAAGGTTGAAATGTGTCCAGGTTTAAGGTTGAGAATACAGTGGGAGGCAAAACTGTGGATATATTATGAATGATTTTAGAGGTTTGACTTAAGATGGATGTGATGCAGAATTGCTGGGCATATTTAGTTTTAGGATCAAGGTTTTTTCTTTCTTGTATTTGCTTGTTATTGTGTTATTTTTAGGGTTAGGTTTATTTTTCCTTATTTTGTGTTGCGGAACTGGCTAGGAGCTTTGTGGAAATGTTGGCTTTTTGTACAGTAGCTGTATTCCTCGGTGTGTCAAACCTTGGCTGCCCTCTCTTTGTATGTATTTATTGCACTGGGATGATGGGTAGTTTCAAATTGGCCTGAAGGTTTGGATTTATGTGCAGGTGTTGTGATTTTTGTATTTTTTAGAGTTGAAATACTGTATGTCATATTCTTTAAGTGGTAAGAAAAACAGAGATGTTTGTTGCATCTCAGTGTATCCATGACTGCATAACATTAACCTTTCGCTGAGTAGCAGCATTGTCTCAATAGTTTCCAGAAGTGTAAGTCCAGGTGTGCCGTATGTCTTTTCACTGCAAGAAATTCCGTTCTGGAAGTCATTTTTCATGGGTTTGCATGTGCAAGTGCTGTCAGCAGCTACCAATCAAAAAATCTGGATAAATCACTGGCAAAGCTGCAGCTCCTTTAAAGTAGCGTTGTTTACAGCAGCCATGCATGTGGACCAGAGGTTGCATGTCCAGTCTGGTCAACATTTGAGGCTGAAATATTCATTTGAGTTTTGATACATCATAAATACAATCTTTTGAGAGAAGATGTTTCCAAGCGTGCACAGACACTGTGGGCCTTTCTAATGTTGTTCACTTGCCCCTGCTTGGAAAGTGAACACTCAGTAATCCAGGGAGGCTTTCCCACGCTGTAGCTCTAGTCTGTCTCCCAGAAATTATAGTGCTCTTGGTGTCCAGCTGACAAAGTCATCTGGCGGATTAGTGGGCTAGAAGAAGGCTATATGGGATGAATTATGATTGTTTTTCACTTTTTGACTAAGCCTCCCATTATAGTACATGTATAGACAGTGGAAGGTGCTATAATCTGCAAAACAACAGAGAACTTTCAGATACTGTATGTTTGAATACTTTGAAAGAAGGTGATGTGCCAGGCCTGTTCTGCCTCCTCAGTTCCCCTCTCCTGTGGTGTCCCCCAAGGATCAGTTCTTGGTCCAGTTCTGTTTTCATTGTACATGCTAAAGAAACATGGTTTCTCTTTCCATTGTTACTCAGTTGCCATTCAGATATATTTACCTTTAAAGGCAATGAGAAGCTTGCTACTACAGCCGATGTTTGACTGTCTGAGAGACTTGAGAACATGGCTCCACATCTGAAGACTACCGTAAAAAACTTTGGAGTGATGTTTGATACGAGTTGAGATTTGATAATCAGATCAACTCAGCTGTGACGTTGTGCTTCTTCCAGCTGAGGTTACTAAGTAAAGTCAAGTCATTCCTTTCTTTTAATAAGTTTGAAATTGTAATCCATGCTTTTATTAGTTCCAGATTTGACTATTGCAGTGCTTTGTACTCAGGTGTCAATCAGTCGTCCCTCTGTCTTCTTCAGATGGAAACAGCTTCTCAGCCTCTCAGTGGTTAGAGTTGGTCAAATGAGTTTCCCCAGTGGAATCAGATAAACAACGACCGTGTTTACTTCACAAACTGTGGTTCCTGATAAGTAAGTTCCCTCTACCACCCAAACAACTCTTGTTGAAAAGCCAATCTAGAAACTTGGCCTGTTTGTTAAGGTTTTCTTTCTGTTTTCCAGAACCTTCAGCATTAACCAGGATTGGCCTTTAGTCAGAGGTTTAAACTTAAATTTATTTGACCAAATCCACATCCCACATCAAGCATGGGCACAAGAGGCCTTTGCGGCTGCCTCCTTCTGACTGTGCTGCTCAGCTTATCAAATGCTGGGCTCGTGAAGAAAGTCCTACGGCATCGACGGCAGACTCTGGCACCCCTCAGAGATCATAACATCACTCTCCCGAGTGCAGACCATCCTGTGGTTTTCAACCACATCTATAACATCAATGTTCCTGCCAGTGCCCTGTGCTCAGTGAGCCTGGATGCTCCAGAGACCACACAGCTCCAAGCTAAAGATGCACCAGTCTCTTCAGGCCAACACATCACCGAGCACACCGTCGATAGGGAGAACCAGATCGTCTTCACCCACCGCATCAACATACCTCGGCAGGCCTGTGGGTGTACGGAGGGCCTGCCCAGCCTGAAAGACCTCATTAGCCGGCTGGAGATGCTTGAGGGAGAAGTTTCAGCTTTAAGAGAACAGTGCAATAGTGACACGGCGTGCTGCAGTGCACAGCTCTCAGGTAGGTGTGATTTGTCTGACAGACTTTATCGTATTACAGCTAGCAGAGTAAAATAATCCTTTCTTTCTCTGAATTGGAACTGAAAAGTGCTTCATTTAGAATACACTACCACCCCATGAGTCTCCTTCAGTATGAGACACATCTGCTCCATCCATCTGTCGAGGAGTTCTTTGGACTTTAATGTGAGGGTGTAATTTTCTGTGTTGTACAGCAGAGACCAACACATCATCAGTGGACTTTGAATGGGATTTCATTTGGCTTTATTTGTCATGCTGTTGATGTAAAAACAATGAAGTCTTCTATAATACTTGGCTAAATGATCCTTGGACCTCTTCTGAATGATGCACTTTTAAAGGAATAATTTGACATTTGGGGAAATACTCTTAATTGCTTTTTGGCAGAGAGATAGGAAATAGAGAAAATGGCACTCACCCAAAACACAGTCCCACACCCAACCAGTGTAGAACTATGACTTTTTGCTTTTTAACATGGATCTCTGTTTAGATTAAACAAACAAGATATACGTTGTTCATTTGTGAGTTTTAAGAGGTCCTGCTGTGGGGATTTTGTTAGTCTTTATGCTAAGATAAACTAATTATCTTCTGGCTGTTTTATATTCAGAGCACAGATGTGACAGTGGTATTGATCTAATGATTTAACTCTCAACACCACATCAAAAAAGTGTATTCCCCAAATAGTCAAATGATTTTTATTAAGCTGATTCTGTTTCAAGAAGCAACGACTGGCACTAATGGGATAAAAATAATTCAGTACAATGCCTCGTTGTTATTCCATCAAACCTTTGAAGTGAGTTGGTAGAATGCAGAATAACAAACTACATATCAAAACATTTCCTTACTTTCCCCCCAAAAGGTAAGGTTGGAACAAAACCCTACTGTAGCGGTCATGGAAACTACAGTGTTAAAACCTGTGCCTGCACATGTGAACCTGGCTGGAAGGGACCCAACTGCACTGAGCCCGAGTGTCCCAGGAGCTGCCAGGACCGGGGCCGCTGCGTGGATGGAAAGTGCGAGTGCTTTAAGGGTTTCAGTGGAGAGGACTGCACACTCGAGGTCTGCCCTGTAGACTGTGGAGAGCACGGTCAGTGTGTGGGCGGCATTTGCATCTGCGAGGATGCTTTCTTTGGTGAAGACTGCTCGCAGACCAAGTGCCTCAATAACTGCCAAGGCCGCGGTCGCTGTGATGACGGAGACTGTGTGTGTGATGAACCCTGGACTGGTGTCGACTGCTCTGAACTCATCTGTCCTAACGACTGCTATGACCGTGGTCACTGTGTGAATGGCACCTGCTACTGTGAGGTGGGATACACCGGGGAGGACTGTGGACAACGCAGCTGTCCCAACAGCTGCCAAGGTAATGGTTTCTGTGTTGATGGCCAGTGTGTCTGTACTGCTGGCTACACTGGAGAGGACTGCTCTCAGCTCACCTGCCTCAACGACTGCAGCGGCAGGGGTACATGCTTCAACGGGATGTGTATCTGTGACACGGGCTACCAAGGGGAAGACTGCAGCCAGTTAGCATGTCTGAACAGCTGTAACAGCAGAGGCCAGTGCATAAATGGGCAGTGTGCATGTGATGTTGGTTTCCAGGGAGACGATTGCTCTGAGCTCTCCTGCCCCAGCAACTGCCTGCACAGAGGCCGCTGCAACAACGGCCAGTGTGTATGTGAGGAAGGCTTCAGTGGGGAGGACTGCAGCATCAGGACCTGCCCCTCAAACTGCTATGGCCGCGGAGAGTGTGTTAATGGACGTTGTGTGTGCCATGTAGGCTTCACCGGTGAGGACTGTGGTGAACTGAGCTGCCCTAACAACTGCCAAAACAATGGCCGCTGCGTGGATGGCCAGTGTGTTTGTGATGAAGGCTTCTCTGGGGAAGACTGCAGTCAGAAAGCTTGCCCCAACGACTGCCTGGCCCGGGGCTACTGTTTTGACGGTAAGTGCATCTGTCAGGAAGGCTTCTCAGGAGATGACTGCTCTGTGCTCGCCTGTCCTGATAGCTGCAACAACAGGGGGAGCTGCATCAATGGCAAGTGCACATGTGAGAGTGGATATGGAGGAGAAAGCTGTGCAGAGCTGAGCTGCATCAACAACTGCCAGGACCAAGGCCACTGTGTGAATGGTCAGTGTGTCTGTGATGAGGGCTACATCGGCGAGGACTGCTCAGAAGGTAAGAAGCTTCCACTGTTTCCATCTGGCAACTAGAGGTACTATAAAAAGCAAATCCGAAGTGATGTAATTTCCTTCAGTTCCCAAAATTCACTCAGCACTCTTCTTGAGAAAAGAAAAAAAGAGCTTAAACGAGGTCAGAAGAGGCTTTGGGTTTGTGCATTGCTGTTCTCTGCACTTTTTTTATTTTGGCGGTGCTTCACACCACAGCCAGATGTGGCTCTGGAGTTTGCATTAGATCAATGTGGTGGAAATTTAATGATTGAGGACATGAGAAACTGTCCAAGACAGCACCCAAGCTTTTTTGCTTTGCTTTTTCCAGTGTCTCCTCCAAAGGACCTTACAGTTGGCGAAGTCACTGCCGATACAGTTGATCTGTCCTGGGACAACGAGATGTTGGTAACAGAGTATCTTGTGACGTATGTGCCCACAAGTCCCGGGGGTCTTCTCCAGGAGTTCACTGTGTCTGGAGACAAGGCCTCTGCCACTGTCAAAGAGCTTGAACCTGGCATTGAATATCTGATCAGTGTCTATGCCATCCTGAGCAACAAGCGGAGTGTCCCTGTCAGTGCGAGGGTGGCCACAGGTACCTCTGTCATCTTCATACTGAGAAAACATACAGAAAAGGGTTGATAAATGCTGAGATTATTTTTGTCTCCATCTGTAGATCTCCCACAGCCAGAGGGTTTACGATTCAAATCAGTGACAGAGACATCAGTAGAGGTGATGTGGGACCAGCTGGACTTCTCCTTTGATGGATGGGAGATCTATTTCCGCAACACGGTCAGTTTGCCGATCTCCTATGGAGGCTCGTCCACAATTCTATTAACAGACAGAAAAAACCGAGAGGCGATAATCTGTGCCAGCTTATTGGGGGTTTCTGTAAATAAATTAATTTCAGTGTTAACCATTAAAACTTGACTTGACACACAGAAAACCTCAGTGAAGTCTGGATGTCACTGCAGTATTTGCTTTTAGAATCTGTGCCAGTAACTGAAAATAAAATTGAAATTGCTGAGCCAGCTGATCAGTCAGAGGCCTTTTTTCAATTTATAGCCATTTTAAAATCTTGTCCTTTTTTGACCTTTGTGTTAATTTTGAAAATGGGCTGTGTGATCTAGTTCATTACTTATCAGTCCACTGCAGGGCTGTGCGCAGACATTTTGGGGTGCAGGTGCTCAAGTTAAAAAAGGCACCCGTCTCACCAACAATTATTTTAAAAAGAAGTTACCTGTGTTAGCACATCGTAAAAAAATGTCCTGCAAAAGGAGCACTTATCAAGACAGAGGGTAAAAGGGGAGGTGCTTAAGCACAACCTGAGGTCATGTGCCTGGTCCATTGTCACTATCAGTCCTCCAGAAAAAAAGGCCAAACATTGCTGTTATGATTTCAATTAAAGGTTGACCCAATTAATATCAGCTACAATATTAAAAGACTACAGAAAAACATATCAAACTCAAAAACTCAACCTGAATAAATGCAACACAAAAGTACAGAAATACAGCAAACCAACCAGCACTGTCAGGGAGCGATACCAGGAGACTTGGAACATACTGTAGGTAACAAGACTAACGAGCAGCGAGAATATGGGATGCAACAAACGAAACACCATAGGTAGAGAACGAGAGTCTGAAATAAGTCCAAAGCCCAAAGGCACAAGGTGTAGAGCCCTATGGGAAAACAGGAGCCCAACAAACCAGGAGAAGGTCATGATAAGGGAGACAAAAAGAGGAGCAGAAGTGAAATGTGATGAACCAGATGAACCAGCAAACTGACTGAGGGGGGTGAAGTGGATGTAAAGGCTGAGGCAGGGAGCCACAGATGAAAGTACTTGGAGGTAATCAATGACCAGAGAAAAGCTGAGGCAGGTGTGAGTGGCACAAGACAGGAAGTCCCTTCAAAATAAGAGTTCAAAACAGGAAGTAGGACAAAACCTTGAGTTGTATTGTTGTAGCAGTAGTAAAACCATGTAGCGTGGTCTTTTAAATTTTCAGTGAATAAAGATTAACACAGCCAGATTTTGTCTATTTACATAGTTCCATGATAAATATAAATAATACAAAATGAATCCAAACTGCAACTGAACAAAACTGTATTCATCCTCCTGAAGTGTTCATGACCTCAGTAAATTAAATCCCCAAAGTCAAACGATGCTTAAACTTGTACCAAGCCTGCATTTTGAGAAACACTCTCCTTTACAGGAGTTAGATGAGAAGACCAATATTATTCACGCATAACTGTAGGCAAAAAGGCAAATAAGTATATTTCCATAACTGTCCAGTTCTGTCTTTTAATGCACCCAGAAGAAGTGTGAATTGTAAACTGCATATAAACTGAATTATTTAGGACTACTGCAGTCAGTGCATGTAAACACACTGTTTCTTGTGTTCATGTCATTAACAGGGTATTTTACATTAGTTTAAACATTATATCTCTTTACAGAAAGAAGACAATGGAAAAGTTGTCACCTCCCTTCCACCCACTCAAAACCAGTTTCTCCAGTCAGGCCTGGGACCAGGACAGGAGTATGAAGTCTCCATCAGCATCGTCAAGAACAGCACCAGAGGACCCCAGACTTTCAAAACAGTCACTACCAGTGGGTTTCAGGCTGTAAACAAATATTTTTAGCACACTGATTGGCTTTGATTTCAATGATGTACTGTATTAGTTATCTAATACAAAAACAAACAGTGTCACAGACTGAGATTCCATAATGAAACGAAGAGTAATGACAGGAAATCCTCTCTGGCGCTCCTCAACTTCATCTAATAGATTTTAGCTAAAGCACAGTAACTCAGCCGAGCATGTTCACGTCATATTTCACTGTCACTAAATCTTGCTCTAACTCCTGTCCTCTGCTCGCTGAAACCTTTATTGCAGTGTTACTCCATACATTACATTGTGGAATGCTTCCAGTTCCTTATGCAATCGGTATGGCACGCCACACCAGACGACCTCCTCTAAGCATGGAAGAGCCATTTAGTTTAACAAGTCCGTGTCGATGGACCTCACTGGGTCTCGCACCACTTTATTTCTGATGTCATTTATTTGTATAAGTTGAAACTAGACACAGCTCCCAGGAATGAGTGAAGTAAGCTTAAACCTTTCATATCCTTTTACCCTCAACAGTCCAAAAGATGTCTCCTCCACATGTAAACACGGGAGATTTGTCCGGCAGTAAACACAGTATGAGAGCGGAAAGGAATCACATTATGTTTCATGATGGCCTTACCTGTTTTGCTATAAGCTAGTGTTTTGTCTTATGAGAGAGCCAGGTTGATTCTTATGAGGGCCGTTTTGTGTATGGACACTAACAAAACAGGTGTGCTCATGTTTGGCCTCGCTCTTGGCCTTTTTCCTGTCATGCAGAGAGGACCTTGGACTCGCACCTACCTAGAATTCTCTTAGCCAGTATTGGGTCTTTGCTAAGCTTTGTCTTATTTGTTCATTTAAAGGCTTTCACTAAGAGAGACTAAATTATTTGTACGGAAATGAAATCTTTTATTTAGTTAAGATCAACTTTACAGACACTCCTCTGCTTACAAGCCTTTAAGGTAATAGGGCGACATTTGGAGAATTTCCCTGGCACCAGTCTCAGTGCTGAAGCTACAGCCAGCAGCTGATCAGATTAGTGTAACAGGAAGGAAACAGCTACATTAGCTACACTAGTGCCTCAAAGTCTCAGTTAACTCATTTCATTCTGACTCTGCTCACGGTAATTAGGCTAACATTGCTAATTAGCACATAACAGAAAGAATAGCTCAGACTAAAGGCTATGTTTGGGTGTATTTGGTCTTAAACTGAGGTGTTAGATAAAGCTGGAAATGTTTCCCTGATGATGGTGTGTCATATAAAGTCAGGATCACCAAAGCTGGTGCAATGCATCCTTGGAGGGGAGTAAGTGTCTGTACCAAATTATTTGTTAAATCCACAATTGCTCTTATAATTAATAGTTCAGAATAATCATACACTAATAATACCAGCCAATTTTGGAGACCAGCAGAGACAGGACAAACAGCTCTTCCTGTCCCTCCATCATCTTAATGATGCTGACTGTTTGCTTTGCATTTGGATTTGTATCAGTTTGTAAACACTGATTTTTATAGTGGGTCTGCTTTTTGCTGTCAGCAATGTGATCATCATTTAGTCGAGGGGGGTGGCTATCATTTCTCTTTGGTTCTTTTCTTTCACTCCCACCCACACCTGGACTCCAGAGATTGACGGCCCTCGGCAGCTGGAAGTGAAGGATGTGACGGACTCCACGGCTCTGGTCAGCTGGTCCCAGTCGGTGGCTCCTATGGACAGAGTCACCATGTTTTACAGCCCCACCTCCAACCCCTCAGATGAAACCACTGTGGAGGTTTTACCACCAAACAAGCAGCACACCATTGACAAACTGAGGCCAGACACTGAGTACACAGTGTCACTCATCTCCAGGAGTGGAGACCTCAGCAGTGACCCTGTCACCACCAAATTCACCACAGGTAGGTGTGTGACAGCAATAATGGAATATTTTCATTTGTTTTAAAGCTGAAGAAAATAAAAAGAAAATATAGAATAACACCAGCTGTGTCCTTTCTGTGTGAACACTACAGTGAAACCAGTATTGCAGCACATGCTAATGTGTGCATACGTTTTACAGCATATGATTATGAATATGTGTACCTTAGAACTGGATGCCCCGAAGCACCTACAGGCCGTGTCCCAGACGGACGACAGCATCACCCTGGAGTGGACCAACAGTCGGGCTGATGTCGGCAGCTATCGGGTGAAGTACAGCCCCATCTCTGGAGTGACTCATGGCGAGGAAGTGTACCCACAGGGGCCAGGAGACACCACAAAAGCTACTATCACTGGTAAGGGTTAAAAGGGTCAACAATGACCTCACACTTAGAGTTAGTGAAACCATGTGACTCCGTTTCCCTCTGTCCCTTCGTACGGCAGGGCTAAGACCAGGGACCGAGTATGGGATCGGTGTGACTGCTGTGAAAGATGAGAGAGAGAGTCTCCCTGCTACTGCAAATGCAGCAACTGGTGAGAGATGTCGCCGAGTGGCTGAACACTTGCTCTTCATGCCCCTTCATAAATACACAGACCGCCATATTTGTTGATATAAATTGGATGATAAAATGAAACTAAAGGGGGGAAAGTGATTTGAGAATTGTGTTACATTTTACACATGCAGCGTGTAAAATGTGTTACCAGTCAGTTTTACACACATTTGTCTTCCTCTGCCAGATATCGATCCTCCCAGAGGTTTTATGAACATAGACTCCACAGACACTTCGCTCACTTTAAAATGGCAGAAACCTCAAGCCAGAATCAGCGGCTACACGCTGATGCACATCTCCAGAGACGGCCAGGTTGAAGAGGTGCAGATCCCGGCCACAGCGTCCAGCTACGTCTTGTCCAACCTGGCTCCTGGAATGAGCTACACCCTCACTTTGACTGCAGAGAGGGGGCACGAGAGGAGCGCACCTGTCACCCTTCCTGCATCCACAGGTGGGTAGGGAATAACTCTGCCAGAGTTTGAGTGTAGAATAAATGATAACACGGCTTCAAAGGAGGATAAACAGTTTGAGTGTAGAATAAATGATAACACACAGCTTCAAAGGAGGATAAAACAGATGACAAACAGTTGATTTTTCCTTCAGCTTAACCTCTCTGTTCTTCACTGTGAGCCTGTTAGTAGTCATTTGCTATATTTTAAATGAATGTCAACCAAATCAATGTAGGCTGGTCGAGACTGGATGACTGGAAATCTGTAGCCAACAAGCACCAAGAAAATGAGATGTCTTTACTACGTAATGATGCTTTCATCACTTTTGTTTTTCTTGTAGCCTCTGTCATATTTTATTTAGCTGGCTCAGACGACCATGAGCTAACGACTCCTACAGGCTCGGAGGACAATGTCATTAGCTTTGCGTATCTAGACCCCTCTGACTCCCAGCTCTCTGGGATGGAGCCTGAGGATGAGCATGGAACGCTTAATATTTCAGGCACCACATCTGATGGATTTGACCCCTCATGGAGACTAAAGGCTCACGGTGTCTATAATAGTTCCACAGTAGAATATAAAGACATGGATGTGAGCGAGGTCCAGCTTCCTGGAGATGCCACTGGCTCTAGAATCGAAGGCCTGACGGCATCGACAGGATATCAAGTAAAACTTTATGAAACAACAAGTAGCCAAAGATCTGCACTACTTGAAGCCGATGCAGTCACAGGTATACGCTTCTCTTTTGGACTGAATATTAATTGGAGACACTTTGTCCTGCTGTTGTTGAATAGCTTCTCTCATCAGAGAAACGTTCTGCTCGGTAGTGACATGATTTGCATGCTGCTATGCAGATAATTTTTCATATAACCAACTGCATTACCTTTGGCATGACACAGTGTGATGTCATTTGACCTTGTCCTATCTGTCATTTGCCAAGGCTTCAGTACTCTGGCAGTTTTCTGCTTCCCAAAACTCAAATAGAAGAAGAAATCTACACTGAGTCGCTGATAGCTTCAGGTACACTGGCTGATCAGATTTCTTTCTGCATTTGATCTTGTAAATACAACTCTCTGAAAGCCTTGTGTCACTAATTCCATCCACATCCATCATCGCCTCAGTCTTATCCATGGACCCTATCCCATGTGACATGGGGCAAGAGGCGGGGTCCACCATGGGCAGGTCTATCACATGCCTTCAGTCTTATTCGCACCAATAAGTGATTGTCTAGCAGTGAATTACACCGTACGTCACTCACATGTTAAGTGACTCAACAGTGTTTCTGTTGGGCAGCAGGAACAAAATGGCTGTGCATGGCTTCTTAACCCATTTGAAGGCAATTGTGTACTTCTACTCTAGTGGACTACTCAGAACCTTCAAATATTAATGGCATTGAATTGTGTCATTAATGCCTTAGCTGTTGCTTGATAATATAAATTGAGGTCACGGCAACAATAAATACACTGGAGACAAGGGCAAATGAAATATTCACAGGAATCAGGAAGCTTAAGTCCAGAACTTAACTCACATTTGAACTGTACCATGTATTCCTATTTTAACCAGGTTTTTTCTTCACAGGTTGTTTTTCAGGTTGAGCAGAACCAGTAATAAATTCATGCTTTAACCTGCCTTTATTCACTGTAGCATCCAAACCTACCTTTTCAGATGGAGTCGCCCCGACAACCCCACAGTCTGCTCTGGAAAATGAAGCAGGTCAAAGCCCAGATCTCCACCGTGCTCCTTCCACCTTAGATAACGATTTGACGACATCTGGGGCTGAGCCTGAAAGCTCGAACCTGGATGTACTGGGCGACCTCACAAATGTTACCTCCTCTAGTGTAAGGCAGGCTTGGTCGGCGCCCGACGAGGCGTTCGATAGCTCTGTGGTGGTGATCAGTGCTGCAGCAGGGGCAGCACAAGCTCAGGTGCCCACACTACCAGGAAGTGTGAGGGATGCTGAGATAGAGGGTTTGTCCCCCTCCACACACTATGATATTACATTGCAAGGGCTGGTGCAAGGAAAGCAATCTTTTCCTCTCAAAGTCTTGGCTGCCTCAGGTACATGGACCAAATATTTCTTTTTCTAGGCATTCATCACAACCCATCTCCAGTTCAGCCATTTCATTTTTATGCTTCTAATATGTCACGATAGCTGCATGATTAATGGTTTTCATTGTTTCAGATTATCTTCTTTAATGTGATCTTTTGTTTTGCTTAAGCCTTATTAACAATGGAGTATTAGGGCCATAGAGAAGGACATTTGGAGATTAAAGGTGTCATTACATTTTAAGATCAGTCATAAATATTTTGAGTACAAAGTTGTAATATTTAAAGATTCAGATCATGAGATTTCCTAGCAGAATATTTTATGATTAAAATCATAATACTTTCTTTTAAAAGGTTTTAATAATTCAAGATTAAATGCATAATATTAAAAAAAAAAAAGAATTTTGGAATTTATCTGTAAAGTTTAAACACTTGTAAGTTTCAAGTTAAATTATTTCTATAAAAGTTGTCATATTTACATACCATTGAAATAAGATTAAAATCATCATATTAAAAAATCTATTTAATATTTAAAGTCATAACATTTTGCAACATTCAGAATTTTTTGTTTGATTTTGATGATTATTTTGAGATAAATCATTTTAAGTTTCAAGTAATATTTCAATATTCAAGTCACTGATTTCACCCTTTTTCTCAAAATATTTTTTCTAGTAAATTTCACATAAATTATGACTTTTGTCTCACAAGTTCTTGCCATATTCTGCTGTTAGTTCAATTTTAATTTGACATCTCTGATCCTTTTTTACCTAAATGTGGTCCTAATGCTCCGTTGTAAAGCTGAAAAGTTCCACGAGAGTAATCTGTGTAATCCATTTTGCCATTCAGTTGACCCAGAGGAGGTGACGCCCGGGGTGTTGAACCTCACCATCTCTGACATTACATGGGACAGCTTCACTGCGTCCTGGAGCCCCACTGGTGGGGACTTTGACAGCTTTGTCATTGAGGTAACAAACTTGAAGAATGTGGAAGAAAGCAACAACCTCACTCTGTCTGGAGACGCCTTCAGCCTGGACATCCTCTGGCTCAGTCCCAACACCAGCTACTTGGTTGGCCTGTATGGGATGTATCAGGGCTCCTTCCTTGAACCCGTGTACAGTGTAGCCACTACAGGTACCTGCAACCTGCAGTGTTGCACAGTTTTGACCTCTGACTCTTTAACTTTCTTTCCAGTGATTTTTTAGCCATCTCTCCATGTCCGTTGGTATCTGTAACGCGTACTAGCCCCTGTGTTGTCCCACTCACAGTGGAGCGTCCACACCTCGTTGCATGAATCAAGACCAACATAATAAACTAATTTTTGTCATCGCTGTCCGTCACCCTGGCCACAGTGTAATCTACTGCTTCACCTTAACCAACATGCCATGAACCAGTCTTTACCCTCCAGCCACTGGTCCTGTCTATCTGAGAGAGGGCACGGTGATGGGTGCCTGTGCCACATCACTGACCCAAGCCAACGCCCCTCAAACGTTCGCCCTTACCCTGAACTGCTGCCTCAATCCCATTTACCAAAGTGCATGAAGCCCCACCCCCATCATCCCCTGCATCGTGGTCAGGTTTGACGCTCTGATGTGCTGCAATGACTGCAAAAGCAAACCAATAACTTTCATCCTCCCCCACCCGTCACACAGTGACAGCGTGACCATCTCATTTCATCCCATCAGCCCTCATCCCGTGTGCAGTCCGTGGTTGCATAAGTGCTCACAGTATGCGTGAGTTCTGTTCGTTTGTGTGGATGGCACCGTGAGACAGTTTAGTTTTGTCCATTCTGATAAAGTTTATTTTCACAGAACTTCAAAGTAAATATCATTATTTTCTTCAGGTGGCAAATGATTAAACCTTCTTTTTCTTATCAAGGTAAAATGCTGATAATGTAATCACAGGTTAACAGTAACTCCACCATGTTTTATATCTGAATGATGTCTAACTTGTCTGCTCTGTGCCTGCATGTAACTGACTATGTAGCTGTCGCTGCATGTCAAATGTTTTTATGTTTCCCTCTGTCCTGTTCTGCTTTGAATTGCTCTGATAACAGATCCACTGCATGATCAAATCCTACTTCTAATATGTGAAACAGATTTTTCTTCTTCCCTAGCCACATTTCCACATTTATATCAACACTTCATTTGTGTAAACTTGCAGGCCAGTATTCATCAGCTGTTTTCCACAGAGGCCTTTTGTGTTTTTTCCTTTGCTATTAGATGTTTGTCCATCTTACTATCGTTATTTCTTCAACAAAGCAAAGTTGTAATTATAATTATGGTGGAGGAACGCAAAACGCTATGCATGTGTTCAGTCTATTATTAAGCTGCTCAGACTATCAAGGATTCCAGGTTGGAGGTGGTGAGTGTCCTATAACACCACACACGTCTATAAGATAAACCAACCAGCTACTGTAGCAGCCGTATAGTACGTATGTAAGTTAGACCTGTGTGTCCCACAAAGTGCTTCTGATGAAACTCTAACCATGGTTTCTTTCTTTAGCGAGTCAGCCAGTGGTTGGCAAACTATTTATCTCAAACCTAACGTCAGAGAGCTTTTCAGTCCTCTGGAACGGCACTAAAGGAGAGTTTGACGGGTTTGTCCTGGAGATTATTGACTCTGATTGGCTGACGGAGCCAAAGGAATATAACATATCCTACAATGTCACTTCCCAGGACGTCACAGGGCTCAGGCCCAGCACTCATTACATAGCCTACCTCTATGGGACAAACAAGGGATCCCGAACAAGCGCTGTCAGTATTGTTGCATCAACAGGTATTTTGATTTAATGTGTATTTCTTATTAATCTTACAAAGAATAGGGATATATGTTATTATCTGCACTGTCAAGTTGACTGGGCCTCTCTGCATACATTAGAGTCAAATACATGCTTTCTATTTCAATCAGTTAATATCTGCCATATTTTTCTTTCCCCTGTAGCTGGAGAACCTGAGTTGTCCAGGCTAGTTGTTTCTAACATTACCTCAGACAGATTCTCTCTGTCGTGGCGAGCAAGAGAGAAGGCTTTTGATAACTTTATAGTAGAAGTCAGAGAGTTTGCTTTGCCCACGCAGGCGATGGGGCGCTCTCTGCCTGGAGACGTGCTCTCCACAGTCATGGCCGGGCTCAAACCGAGCACAAGCTATAACATAAAACTGTACGCCAGCGCTGGTGGCCAGAACACACAGCCTCTGTTTGCTGTAGCTACAACAGGTATCACATTACATGCATTTCTTGACACTGCATGTACCAAATACATGTATCAGCTCTCAGCACAGTATAACTGAAAAGCCATGTTCTGTTTTTTATTCAGAGGATGTCCCACAGTTGGGGCCCATAGCTGCTTCATCTGTGAGTCCACATAATCTCAGCTTGTCCTGGAGCACTGTGTCAGGCCATTTCGATGGCTTTTATATCCGGGTCAGTGACTCTGAGCAGCAGTCTGACACGCTGGAGTTCACGCTGCCCGGCGACATCCGTAACATTACAGTGTCTAACCTGATGGATGCCACAGGCTATGACATTGAGCTGTACGGTATTTCTCACGGGCACCACACTTCCTCTGTGTTCACCCACACCGTCACAGGTACTACGTATTTTACTCATATCTTAAAACACACATGGTTTCCACTTACAACCGCAAGTGATGAGAGTGTTTACATCAAAGATTGAATGGATTGCTGCCAAGTCTGAAACTCATCGAGCACATATTTGACACGCATCATAAGAACCTATTGTTTGTTTGATTTGCTCTTCTGGTTCCTTTTTGTACGTGAATGAAATAATTTGATTTATTAACCTCAAAGAGGTCAGATATGGATGTGAAGTAAGCATGCACAGTTATATTTCTTTTTATAGTTTGTGTTGATGTAGACAAAACTCTCTTTTTTATAGGTTTTGACATAAAAAGCCTACAACTATCGTTTTTATTTTAGATTTCTTGTATGTCATGAACCGTGGCTGTGGCATCTTTACGGATGTGATAAAGGGCCAGCACTGATTAGGCTTTGTTTTTACACTTCATTTATTTTTGGAATGCACACATGGAAGTGTTTGAAGAAGACATCGAGCACTAATCAGGCCTAAAACCTAAAGCCCTGCAGTACCAGTAATGGCCACTAGATGTCTGTGGTTTCTAATCAAAGGCTGTTCTGACAAATGTCTACATCAGTCTTGTCTTCTAATTGTCTTGATAGCATTTGCTTCATTCTTCAGTCACTGTGAGCCCCACTGCATGTTTTTGTTTTGTTTCAAACAGTAAGCCCAAATCCAAGCTTCGAAATGATGCTTTAGAAACATTTGCATGAGGGAAAGGGGGGTTACAGTACACCAATTTTTCTGCAGTCTATAGTAGACCACTATGATGCCTGCCAAATTTGGCGTTTATGTGTTGTGGTTGTCGGATGTTTAATCTGGTGACAGCTTCTTTTTTCCTCTAAAAACCTAATATTGCAAAGGAAGCACAGATTCTTTGATTTGCTTTTGCAACCATTGCACACATCCTCCTCCTAATGGAATCTTGTCCCACATTTGTTCCCCCTCACAAAACAATAAAACCCACTTCCTCCAGCTCCTTTGCCTAAAGTGGAAAACTTGACCGTTTCCAATGTAACCCCCTATGGCTTCCGTGTGTCGTGGGAGGTGAAGCAGCAGCTGCAGCAAGAAGATTTACCCCCTTCGAGCGGTGGCTTCAGCCATTTTCACATAGTGGTGACAGACTCAGGCTGGCTGCTGGAGCCTCAGGAGTTCACTGTGCCAGGAAACCAAAGTCACCTGGACATCTGGGGCCTCATCACCGGCATAGGATATGAGGTCAGGCTGACCGGGGTGTCTGAGTCAGGGCTTCTCTCTCGGCCTCTGACTGCAGTGGCTGTGACAGGTACCACTCACAGTGCGCTGAAAGGCCCCTCGTCTTGCTAAAACCTGCAGTTTCCTGTGTTGTTGCAACCACTGAATATGTCTGATTGTTAAACTTTATGATCCCATTCTGAAGTTTCACAATCACAACTTGGCATAATTCTTTGATATTCATGTTTTTAAAATAATATGGAGTCAAAGGTGTTTTCATGTAATAAAACTGCCCTGAGGATTGATAGGTGATGCTTGATGCCATGTTTTGATGGCGAGGCTTTAGCTCAGCACTGTTCCCTAACCCTAACTCAGATTTATAACAACTCTTTTCCAGAACTTTTCCTTTGATTTAAGCAACTTCTTGGAATGCAGCTTCATCACTGGGAAGAAGAGATGTGGAGCTCCCATCTGTTTCTTCTTACCTCCAAAATATGAGGAAGCACATTTGCTTGTTTCCATATTTTATCTGTGTTTTCCAGTAGCACATAGGTGTGTGTGCACCTTAACACAAATTATGTGTCATATCAATGGATATCTTTTAACGTTGATATGTTTTCATGTTGGTTTATGGATCAGGCCAAACTACAACCCAGTGAGTGGAAAACACTAATACACCAACATGCAATCTGAGCATGAAATGTCAGTTGGTTTAACTTCTAATCTCGTTTGTTTCGTTATCTTTGAATGCACCGGATGCATCGAGGTTGGCCTTGAGGACGCATGGGGACCTCGTCTGGACCGGTTTTTGTGGAAATCCTTCCAACAGATTAGCTAGAGCCCTTTAACTGACATAAATAAACACCAGTAAAAAGCATCTTGTCTGTTTAACTTCCTGTGCATCTGTGTTTCTGACTAATTTAAACTAACGGACGCCTGAGCATGGCAGATCAAAGGTGGTGGACAAACAGACTGGAATGTAACCCTGTCTGCCACTTTCTGGCCTAATTTCTGACTTCTTCCAAACTGACGTCTTTGGCCTTCTCTCACAAGTTCTGAATAGTGCTGGGAAGACAATGTTATGTTTCCTTGTCTAACCAGAGGCTGAGCCGGAGGTGGAGCATCTCTTTATCTCAGACATCACAGCTGATGGCTTCCGTCTGTCATGGACGGCTGATGAAGACACGTTTGACAGATTTGTGATAAAAATAAGAGACGGCAAAAGATTAGCTCATCCCCAGGAGTACAGCGTCCACGGTGATGAACGAACCATGGTTTTAACTGGACTCATGAGCGCCACCGAATATGAAATCGAGCTTTATGGAGCCAAATTGGGCACACGCTCCCAGCCTATTAATGGGGTTGCTCAGACAGGTACTGTATATGAAACCACTGCAAAGTGTTTAGTTTTGTACTAACCATTAAACTCTCTGCATTTTTGGGTGTGACATCTGCTGTCAGAGCTGGACCCACTGTCCATCCAATCACCCTTATTCCTCCGTGTCTGTCTCTAATGGAAAATGGTCTTTTGGGAAACACTAGCTCAACTTTAATTTGGATCCCTTGAGCCAAAGGTTCTCAGTTTTTTTTCTTGCAGTGTTTAAGGCATATTTTCCTCATTAATTCACTTCTTTTCCTGCTTTCCTGTCTGTGCATATCCATTTGCACTTTGCTAGGCCTGAGCAACCCAAGAGGACTTCACTTCTCTGACGTGACTGACTCCTCAGCTGTAGTTCACTGGTCCATGCCTGTCTCTCCAGTGGATAACTTCCACATCACCTATGTGCCCTTTGAAGGAGGTAAGCTGTCAGTCAGGGTTATTGCATGTCTATAGTTCTTTACTGGGTTGAATTTGATTACGGTGTGGACACACCTCATTCAATGCTCTTTCTTTGTTTCTATTTTTTTTTTACATTGTAGATAAAAACTGAAGTACTATAAAATAACATGGACTTATTTAAAAAGCAAATCTGTAACTAAAGCAAAAATATCTTTTAAATCTTTAATTATTCAAAGAGCTTTGCGTGCACTCTCTCAACCACACCTGTTCACTGATAGGCAGTCCAGGTACCTGCCTCATGAAGCTGGTTAAGAATTTACCAGTTCTGTGCAAAGCTGTCATTAAGAAGAAGAGTCCAAAACATTGGCTGGTACGGTAGTTAATTTTAGTTTTCTTCTCCTATGTAGATATTTAAATGAAAGCTTAATTTAACTAATTCTAGCTGTGCTGGTCAGCTCTGGGATGTTGGTGATCTCACAAAACCCAGATTATATCTCCATGTCTCAATCCAAGATCAAAATAAACCATGGTGGGAACATAAAGCTACACCACATCATGATTATTTATGTGGAGTGATCAGTATTTTCTTTTTTCATGACTCCTCCTGGACTCAGTAGCCATGAAATGTACAGGTATTCATGTTTCCAGAGGTTGAAACCTAATGATTTTTTTCTATCTTGTTTTCTTTTCACTCCAAAGATAAAGTTTATAATCATCCAACACAATACAAATAAAATCCCCAGTAGTCTAGGATAGTACAGCTTAGTTATGGAAAGTGAAAATGCACTGGTTGGGAAAAAAAACCAACCTCTAAAGAATCTGGCCACTTATCATTTTCACATGGACACTGTCATTTTATATTAGTGGGGGACCCATTTTTAGTTCTCTCTCCTCTACAGGAAGCCCAAAGACAGTGACTGTGGATGGCAGCGTGTTCAAGGTTTTACTGCCCAGCATGTTTCCTGGCAAGACGTACCAAGTGACCGTCAGTGCCGTGAAGGGTCTGGAGGAAAGTGACCCCAGCACTGACACTATCACCACAGGTTGGCTTTCAGTCCTTCTGACTTGTAGTGACGTTACAGTAGAAAATTAAATTCAAGCCATTTCTTTTGGGTCTGTGTCTGTGTCCTCCAGCTCTGGACAGACCTCAGGGTTTGACTGCAGTGAATGTCACTGACACCTCAGCGCTTCTGCTGTGGCAGCCGTGTGTGGCCACTGTTGATGCTTACGTCATTACCTACAGTGCAAATAGAGGTGGGTTTTTCTTTTCAGTTATTCTTGCTGTTTATAGTAATGTTTACCTGTTCTAAATCAGTGACTCAGCATTGCCTTCCTGTGAGTGATGTGGGTGTGCCCTGCCTTGCAGTGTCCCCAAAGGTGGAGTCTGTTTCTGGGAACACCGTGGAGTTTGAGATGGGCTCCCTGGAGCCAGGAACCCACTACACAGTTGGAGTTCATGCTATGAAAGAAGCTCAGAAGAGTGAATCTGCCGTTACTGATTTCATCACCGGTGGGTTTGGAAGGGAAACGTGACCTGAAGCTGTTAATTCAAGTGGATATTTTACAGTAACAGTGTGTCAAGTGATGAACCATCTGAGCGTTATCATGTGAATCTACAGCTGAATCTTACAAAGCTTTATAGCGTTTCAGCTCATTTAGTGTTCAGACCACAGATTTATATTTCCTTCACAAGTTGGTAGAGAACAAAAGAGGGTTAATATTGGACTTACATGTCTCCAAATGACTGAATACTATGTTTCACAGCTGGTGATATATCAGTGTTGTGTTCACAGTGTGTTCCTGCTGCCCCCAGGTGTCCAAAAACTCAATGCAGGTTTAATGAATGATGACTCTACAGTGTGACGTTGTATTTACAGTTGTGGACCCTCCTCGTGATCTGACAGCTATCAACGTCCAGAGTGACAGCGCTACTCTCACATGGAAACCTCCACATGCCGCCGTCACCGGTTACACACTCACCTTCTCTTCTGTTGATGGTACAATCAGGGTACGTACTGTACAACCCCACATCCGTTAAATCACTGACAAACAGCAGTGGCTTTGCTTGTGAAAACCCAAACCCACACTGTATTAACTCACTGTTGCTGAGGATAAATTGATTTCCTAACATCTTAACATTGCTTTGAGTTTATACCAATGTGGAATGAAAATCAATTAGAAACACGAGTGCATTCAAGGAAACTACCCGAGGAGTCATTTTTCAAATCCAGAAACTACCAAACTCACATCATCTTGTTCTTGTTTGTATTCAGATTCATGTTCCGTCACTGTGGCACATGAATGCAAGACACTCTGGGCATGAACAGCCAAATTATAAATAAATCCAAAAATAAAAGTAACACTATTTTTCCTGTGATCTGTCTTTTAGCTGTTTTCTGTAGCCCACTAATATGAATATAAACCAGGCCCAATCAAAGTGAGTGGTATTCTATGGAAACTGGTTAGCAGTAATGCAAATTATCCAGATTTTATGGTGAAATCTGCAGAGTGGTCCTGCTCCTTGCAAATGCTTTGTGTTTGTATGTGTGTGCATGGATTCAGGAAGTGGTGCTAAGCCCCACAGCCTCCTCTTACAGCATGACTCAGCTACTGGGCTCTACAAAGTACAGCGTCAGACTACAGGCCATGGCTGGAGCCCAGAGGAGCCGTCATGTAACCACCATCTTCACCACCAGTAAGGAGGGAAACATGCACATACACTACATGCTTTGTTTTTGTTTTTAGCCATTACATTTATTCAAGTGCTGCACTTAAGGACAATTTGAGGCACTTGTGCTTTAGTTGAGCTACGTTCTACTTCTACTCCACTACATCTCAGAGAGAAACGTACTTTTTATTCCACTACATTTATCTGATAGCTGTTGTTACTGCTTATTTTATTTTACATAAACAAGGTCTGATAAACTTTGGTTGCTTAAGGAACCAAAAGCAAATTTGGCTGGTAATACTGTAGTAAGTAATATTTTTAATTTTACATGTAATGAAGTAGTTTTACACTGCGGTATTGCTACTTTTACCTAAGTACTTCTGAGTACTTTCCCCCTTGTGTCTGTCAGCTTTAGTCAACACAACTAGACTTGCTGCTACTTTCTGAGCTGTGAATGAGCTGGTGGATGGTGTCTGGTGTCTAGAAGCACATTAAAAAGATATTACTTCTTCTCAAGCAAATTCTATCCCAGGCTGATCACCTGTGATTGGTTTTCAGTCTGCCTGAGCTGCTCTCTGTGGAAAAACCTTTCTTTCCAAAGCCCTTTCCCTCACATTTTACTGTATATTGTCTGGCACCGAGATGAAAACAAAGCAACGGTGTCCTCTCAGGTCTCTGAGATGATGTGATTTGAATGGGTTCTTTTTAGTTGGACAGTTGCACAGACTCCCCAGGGACTGCGCTCAGATTTTACTGAATGGAGAGACGACCTCTGGTGTGTTCACCATCTATGTGGGCGGAGAGGAGAGCCAGCCCATCCAGGTTTACTGTGACATGACCACAGATGGCGGAGGATGGATGGTGAGTAAATCAATCTGCTGGAATCCAGTTAAAGGCCGTGTTGAATAGAATATGATCATACCAGTGCCTGTTTTTCTAATGATAGACACTGACCTCGGCTCTGCTCGTTGTGATTACTGTGAAGCTGCTGTGACTCTCATGAAAGTCAGTCCTCCTCAGGTTTTCCTTCGACGCCAGAATGGAAAGCTGGACTTCTTCAGGAACTGGAAGAACTACACCGCTGGATTCGGTAACATGAATGATGAGTTCTGGCTGGGTAAGAGCGCTCATCTTCTCACCTTATATACACCTCCCCGCTCTCTCCCTTGCTCCTGACTCACACATATTAAACTGGTTTTCTAGGTCTTCCCAGTCTCCATAAAATCACATCTTCTGGTTATTATGAGCTACGAGTGGACTTGAGGGACAAGGGGGAATCAGCCTACGCTCAGTATGACAATTTCACAATCGCAGAGCCAAGAACACGTTATAAAATCAACATAGGAGCATATAGTGGAACAGCAGGTAGGTATTACTTTAAAGGAATAGTCTGGCATTTTGGGAGCGAAGCTGCTGAGAGTTAGTTGAGGAGATCTATGGCACCTGACGGGGACATTTTTGTGATGCACTCAATCCTTAATTTTCACATAATAGTATTAAATGGTATAATATGTTTAATATGCGTTCATTTTCTTTTGCAGATTTTTTGTAATTTGATTAAAAATTTTGCCATGTTTGGATGGAAACTTGGCTCATGGCCTGCCAGTTAGCTTAGCTTAGCATAAAGACTGGAAACAAGGGGAAACAGCTAGCCTGGTCCTGTCCAGTGGTTAAAACAAGAAAACCTGCTTGCCAGTACCTGTGATACTAATTAATGCTTTGCATTTATTTAATTGATACCAAAACAAACTTGCAGTTAATCCCCACAAAACCTGGACCTGACATTTTACACTTTGCTGCTTTTATGCTAAGATAAGCTAACTAAATGTCCAGACATGAGGGTGGTATTGATCTTGTCGCTGAAGAAGCATATTTCTAAAAATGTTGAACTGTTCCTTTATGAAAAGCTGGTTTAATTAATCTAATTGAATGCATTTGCATGCATAACCATGAGCTGTGTTTTCTTCACCAGGTGACTCCTTGTCCTACCACCAGGGTCGGCCTTTCTCCACCTTCGACAACGATAATGATATTGCTGTCACCAACTGCGCCTTGTCCTACAAAGGTGCCTTTTGGTATAAAAACTGTCATCGTGTCAACCTCATGGGGAAATATGGTGACACCAGTCACAGTAAGGTATGAACTGTTTTATTTCTTTCTTGTTCAGGGAAATGTGTCTCTTTACCCACTTAAATCGTACTGGTTGGGGACGTGTGCTCACATTATTTCCTCTACTGTCCTGCTGATGGTTTATTTGCTCTATTCTAATATCACTATTTTGAATCTTGAGTCCTATTTTCATGTTTTAACACTTGAGCTTGTTCTGTGAATTAACTCTACTTTACTTTTAAAAAGTTTTCTCCAACTGAAATATTGAGGGAACTATGTAAGCAAGCAAGCAAAATGTATTTATATAGCACTTTTCTAAACCTATGTTACAAGGTGCTTTACAGTAAAACATACAAAATAATACCTGATAAATCACATCTACACAATAGAATAATAACAGAAAAAATGTATAATCAAAAACAAATGCATTAGTCAGGGACGTTGTTAAAGGCCTGTGAATACAAGTGTGTTTTAAGGAGTGATCTAAAAACAGTTGGGTTTGGAGCAGATCTAATATCCCGTGGCAGACTATTCCACAGTATAGGAGCCCAAACTGAAAAAGCTCCCCAATGTTTCAATCAAGCTCAGACATATACGAAGGTGGTAGACCATGTACAGCCTTATAGACAAACATCAACGATTTAAAATCAATCCTAAAACAAACTGGAAGCCAGTGGACTGAAGCAAGAACTGGAGCTATATGCTCATGACGCCGTGTATTAGTCAGAAGACGAGCAGCTGCATTTTGGACCAACTGGAGCAGGGACAATGAAGCTTGAGAAATGCCAGTGTATAGCCCATTACAATAATCAAGTCTAGAGCTAATAAAGGCATGAATTGCCTTTTCAAAATCACTAAAAGAAAGAAAGTGTTTAACCTTAGCCAGTGGTCTCAACTGAAAAAGGTTTTAGGTCGAACCGATTGACATCTCTGGCCATTACTGACCTAATGGAGGACATAACAAGTGCTATGGATGAGAGGAAATATACGATGGGAATATTTATTGACCTAAAAAAAGCATTTGACACAATCAATCATGAGTTATTAATGGATAAGTTAGAAAAATATGGGATCAGGGGATACCATACTTAGAGTATGGCGTTGAAAACTGGGGAAATACATACAAAAGCTCACTTCAACCATTGTATATATTACAAAAAAAGAGCGATAAGAATTGTGCATAAGATGGGGTACAGGGATCACACATGTAGCTTTCATACAGTCTAAATTGTTAAAATTGTTTGATTTAGTGGGATATCAGACTGCTGTGTTTATGTATAAAGCCAGGAACAATTTATTACCTGGTGGAATTCAAAAACTATTTAATGAAAGGGAAGGGGGATACAATTTAAGGGGTCAGTTAAATTTAAAAATTCATGCTATACGTACAACCAAAAAAAGATTTTGTATTTCCATAAGTGGGGTAAAACTATGGAATAATTTAAGTGTAGACATAAAAAACAGTAATAGAATTGACGAGTTTAAACACAAATATAAAGGTATGTGTCAATCAAGATATATGCAAGAACAGGTTTAATGATTAATTAGATGGAACATTGTGGGTGTGGTGTACATTTTGTAACCATTCTTTAGTATATTACTTGTGTGATGTAAGAATGTTAACACTGTTAAAATCTTTTTTTAGTATAATATGTGTGGCGTAGAAGTGAATCATTTACTGCTTGCAAACCAATGATGGTAAGATGATGTCATGGGGTAGGACTAGATAAGTCTAACTTCTTCCTACTCCATTCAAGCATGTACTAGGTATAAGCACATTGATATTGGATTATGTGTAAAATTAGGTGTGTTGTCATATCAACTGTTTTACTTGCTTGAAAGTATAAATCAAATCAAAAAAAGCTGGCCTTGACCACAGATTTGATCTGTTCATCCAGCTTAAGAACACTATCAAATATCACCCCATGGATGTATGTATCTGCTTGCTTTTCACCTTCAGTGTAATAAAAAAAAAAATCCAGTTCCAGCAGAATTCCCTGTGTGTCCATAAACTGGTGCAAGGAAATACAACTCTGATATGTTAGATGTTCCACTGTCCCCTGATCTACATTCTTCTTTTTTGCACAGGGCATCAACTGGTTCCACTGGAAGGGCCACGAACACGCCATTGAATTTGCAGAGATGAAGATTAGACCAGCCAACTTCAGAAATTTTGAGAGCAGAAAAAAGCGATCATAGACTCATGAATCCCCTCCTCTTGTGCACCTCATCTCCATCCCCCTGAGCCTTGTCAGCAGTTGTCACACAAACTGAGGCAGTCACAGTCACACTGGCCGTAATTACATTTTGGATGTGAGACCCAAACCCAGTAACATTACACCAAAGAATTAAATGAAAATCAAATTAGTTGTGCTTTGTGTTGCCATCCCAGTTTGACACTGTTGTATGTGTGATGATATTTCAGTGTCCCAAGAGAAAGTGGCTGTTGAATTTGAGTGTGAATGGACATGCAGAACTTCTGTTACTGGGACCAGCCAGCTGTATTCATAGGACAAGTCATTGTAAAATTGTGTAAATGGATCAGTTATAATATGTCAAGGGCACATAGCCACAAGGTTTCAGGCCGCTCATACCCACCACCGTAATGGACAGACAATTCAGAGCTGTTAACAGTGACTAAAATTATCAAATGATGATAAACAGAATTAACTCCATTAGATATTGTCATGTTTACTGTACAACCAAGAGAACCTTCCACTAATACCACTGAATTCATATTTAAATTCTGGTTTACCTATTTTGATAGAAAACAAATGATGCTCTGTAACCTGCAAATAAAATGTTCATTTGATAAAACCGTGCATGTTTGAGCTCTTTCTAAAATCTTTTCCACGTACACTCCAGCAGATGGCAGTGTTCACTCTCTGTGCAGCACCGGGTGGGCATGCACTGTGTGATGCATGTGGCTGTCTGTTGCTACTGTATTTTATAGAGAAGTACCAGAACTATTCATTATTCAGAACACATTCAGCTCTTCAAAAGTCTTAAAGCTAACTGATCTCAGTTTCAGTATACAAACATTTAATCAGTGCTTAAAGCTAACTGATCTCAGTTTCAGTGGCGAAGCCCTCAGAAATGATTTAAAAGTCTGGTAACACCTTATTTTATACTCCCAGACTTAGCATGTGTAGGAAGTATACAAACATTTAATCAGTAGGACCAGCCAGCTGTATTCATAGGACAAGTCATTGTAAAATTGTGTAAATGGATCAGTTATAATATGTCAAGGGCACATAGCCACAAGGTTTCAGGCCACTCATACCCACCACCGTAATGGACAGACAATTCAGAGCTGTTAACAGTGACTAAAATTATCAAATGATGATAAACAGAATTAACTCCATTAGATATTGTCATGTTTACTGTACAACCAAGAGAACCTTCCACTAATACCACTGAATTCATATTTAAATTCTGGTTTACCTATTTTGATAGAAAACAAATGATGCTCTGTAACCTGCAAATAAAATGTTCATTTGATAAAACCGTGCATGTTTGAGCTCTTTCTAAAATCTTTTCCACGTACACTCCAGCAGATGGCAGTGTTCACTCTCTGTGCAGCACCGGGTGGGCATGCACTGTGTGATGCATGTGGCTGTCTGTTGCTACTGTATTTTATAGAGAAGTACCAGAACTATTCATTATTCAGAACACATTCAGCTCTTCAAAAGTCTTAAAGCTAACTGATCTCAGTTTCAGTATACAAACATTTAATCAGTGGTTTACAAGAAATTATATCCTGCAGTAGAAAGTGTTTATTAATGTATTGATCTTCTTGTAGACACCCATAAGTACAGGCTGGTGTGTAAGCAGATAATAAAATATAATGTTTTAGGAGAAGTTGATTGGTGTTAAATACTGTACATTATTAAACAGTTTATTAAATGTTTGTATACCAAATAGGGGGATTTAAAGTGCTACCAAAGATTTTAAATGTCATTCACTTGAATATTTTTCTTTTGCGGAGCAGCAACCTCAGACCGGCGCCATCACTGCTGCTGCTCCTGGGAAGTTCAGCTACTCATAAAATGTCCATTTTAGCACCTTGTCTTATTCAGCCCTTTGGTTTTTTGCCACTTATCCAGGGTCCAGATTGTGCTAATTGATTTGCCAGGCAGGAAGAGACATGAATATCAGTTTGCACTCAGAATAAGTAAGGTCTTATTGTCCCTATTGGCTTTCAATGATTCTGTATAACTCTGTGTGCTGTCAAAAGTATTTTAATTTGGTGAACATTGTGACTGGTGACTTTACTGTCAAAGCTTAGTATCGTGTATGTTTACAGAAGTCTTATTTCATAAATAGATTAGACTGAGTACAATAGTCCTGTTCTAGTTTAGGTTAAAATCAATCTTATCTTTCTTATGCAACTTGTGCCCTTTGGAGCCTTTTGTGCAACCCACAGCAGATTTGCAAAATCAATATCTTTTTGACATAAAATCCATCCCTGAGATAAACTTCTCCGGATTTGAAATGAAACTCTTCTTTTATTGCTGTTCATTGGTTTCAGTGCTTGAACACGTCCTGCATATGACTTGTAAGCTGGATAAGCAGAGGTCATTTCAATCTTTCAACATCAGACAGGTGACCCTGAGAGCCATCCCTGACTCGTGCCTCCATGTCCTCTCTGCACCGTCTGGTACTGTTTGTTCTACAGCTCACGCTTCAGTGGGTACATTTTGGCCTGTTCTATCCCATCCTCATGCTCAGGTCGACCTTCTTGTGTTGAGAGAAGCCTGACAGCTCTTTGGATAGTGCAGTGTTGTGTTGGAGGATAAGGAGGGCCCAGAGACGAGACACTAGGTGTCGGCTGGCACAGAGCTGGTAGTTTGCCACATGAAGTTCAAGATTTAGAAATAACTACTGACCGGGATTTCTACCTATGTTTATTGCTAAGATCTAATTTCATCCTGAGACGTTTGTAAATAAGGATTTTGAGGTCATGAGTCAAGTGTCCTTATAAATTAGCTCCAGAGACGACCAGTGAACAGATTGTTCAAGTCAGCTTCTTCCAATGATCTCACCCCTCAATGTTTAGGATGACATTACACAGTTGTCTGGCTATTAATCTTTGACAAAATTAGGACTGTATTTCCCATGACCCCGGTTAGATGTTGTCACTTATCCCAGTGGTGTGGTTCTAGGGATGGAAGAATCCTTTGGTTGGTTGGTTGGTTGTTCCCCCAATTTGTTACAGACTGAAATATCTCAACAGCTGTTGAATTTTCATGAAGGTTTATGCAGATATTCATAGCTTCTAGAAGTTGAAACTTGTGACTTGGTGATTCCCTGACTTTTCCTCTTGTGACACAGTGCGGTTGATATTTTTAGTTTTTAGTGACATGTCTTAACAACAACTAGATGAATTGCCATGAAATTTGATAAAGACATTCATGGTTGTCAAAGGAACCAGTAACTAATAACATCCTAACTTGGATTGCTGTGAAATTTGTTAGAGACATTTGAGCTAATCTTGTGCAATAAATGTTTTATGTATTATCCATATTAAATAAACAAATACAAATAGAAACTCTACCACTCAGGGTGAGTTGTAATATTTTTTGTGATCCTTTATTTTGCACCAGTAATGGGCCAAAATTTTGATGGTTTATGACAAAATACCTGCAACACTAATCACATTCTCCTAGGCCTCTGCTGCACTTTGTGTTTAGTTCTAGTTGTTAAATACTAGCTAAAATGAAATGGTAAACAAGCCTTATACCTGCTAAACATCAACATGTTAGCATGCTTAAACTCAGCCTGGCTGTAGATTCTCATTGCTATATAAATACATATGAACAAAATGAGCTAACAGCTCTCAGAACTGTGATGTTGTTGCTACACATTGTGACACTCGTAGTATTTGTACAGCGTTATATCATTGTTTGCTCAAAGAGCTGCTTCACGTTTACACAGCCAAATCTCTCCAGCTGATGCAATGACCTAAAGACAAGTCTGCCTTCTCACCGTCTGGTTTCTATTGAAATTAAAAGCAAATTTATTTATTTGAATTATGCTTTTTGTATCATTATCACTGTATGCTTGGGTGTTATTTTACAAAATTGGGGGGTGGAGGCGTAAAATATATACTGTAAGCAATACAAACACACTGTGGAGATTTTACTTCATAAGGTCAAACAGGAGCCAAACTAAAAATGTAATTTTCCTGTGTACCAGCTGAGCAAAGGTTACCGTGTTGCCTGAAAAAAACCTGTTTGTATTAGCTACACCATGTAGCCTAGCTGAAACACACCAGACAGCCATAAATCATGTTTTCCAAGCAAACATTTTCCTGGGAGTCAGTGCTATACTTGAATTGGCTCTGCTCTTGATGCACAGTCCCTGGCCCTGTGTGAACATATATCTAAATCATCTGCCACAGCCCTGTCAACGCGTTCCACAGCACTTTCCAATACACCACTGAACATATGTAATTGAAAAATAGGTCATTGTATGCTTTGATGGATTATTCAATATATGTACTGTAAAGCATGTTTGTGACATAAAAACTAGTTTTATATTTCATGTTTAAACCTGCAGATATAATCTGAATAGTGATTTTAAACCTAGTTGGGGTATTTTTCTTATTTATTCCTAAAAAAATATGAGTTTTGAGAATTTTAAAAGTAATGTGGGCATGAATGGTTGTCTGCCTCTGTGTCGACTGTGATACGCGACCTGTCCAGGGTGCTATAGATCGGGCCTCCAGTCTCTGTTTACCTGCGCTATCTGCTATTGCTGAGACATGACATGTCTACAGGCCTGTTAGCTAGGCTATAACTTAGCACAGCTTTGCTTGGAGTTAAATGTGTCAGCTTGCTAACATGCTCACAATGGCAATGCTAACATATGCAGATGTTTAGCAGGTGTAGAGTTTGTTTGTGATTACCATCTTAGTTTAGCATGTTAGCATACTAACATTAGCTAATTAGCACGTATCACACAACCAAAACCACTGTTCAGATGGAAATTTGATGGCCAATGATAAGGCATCACTAAAGTTATTAGCTTTCAGTACATTCTGCATAGGTACATTTTTAGACCAAATTTAATTGGCAAGCCAAAAAATTATTTTGAAGATATTGCCTCGACACATTTTGTGTTTGTGTGCATTGCGCTGCCTGTGGGTTTGGATTCTGAACAATCAGCCTGCATTTGTCTTGTTTATACATTTCAAAAAACATTTCAATTCAGTTCTGAAAATCCCTTTATAATATCTGTCCTGCTCATGCTACCCTTCCCCTTCATTTGATGATGGTTTTATCTGTGCAGCTCTGACTGCAGTGACATAACATCCCGGCTCAGGACAGAAGCACACAGGCTCGCTGACGGGGATTACAACTCATTCTTCAGCATGCTGGGTTTATTTTAGGGTTCGACTGGATAAAACAGGATTAGCATCACAATGAATTCATGGGCATTCAAACACAGAGGTCAGCTCCTGTATGACCTTTGACATTATAAATCTCCATCTGCGTTGTCATAGCTAAACATAGATTTGATCAGATGTAATTCCAGTGAGGTGTCCATTTTTGATATGAGCCAGTCCAGCGGTGACAGGTCTCATCTACCAGTGTTTTTTTTTTTTTACTAGATTCTCCTTCACAAAACTACTAGTCTGCTTTGAGTAAATTATTTCTTTAGGTAGTTTTTGTTTTGTGCTGGGTGGACTAAAATGTTTGCAGCCACATTAGCAGCCCAGTGAAACTATACTTAGACCCAGCAGAGCAACATGATAAAGTCAACATGCTAATATACTGAT